CACATGGCCAACCACGGTTCAAGTCTCAGACCTGGTGGCTTGCTTTCTCACTTCCTCTCTCTCTCTCTCTGTCTCTCTCTGATCAAACTGGAAAATAATAATGATAATAATAATAATAAATAAAGTTAAATGAAATAACTCTTTAAAAAAATGTTTTGCTATAGAGCGTACCCACTGATTGAAGACAGAGAGTGAGAGAGAGAAAGTGAGAAAGCACCCCCCCGGGGGAGTACGGCCACACTGTAGCCCTCTCTGTTCTCCTCTTGGAATCTGGGGTATACATGCACAAACGCTTGGTGTTTTTCAAGCCTTCGGGTCCAGGTACTTGAATTGTGCAGTTGGCCACGTGAGGTCCCGCTGTCTTCACCTCTATGCCGCTTGCTGACCTGTAATTCACTTCTGACACAGCAGAGATAGGGGTTGCTTGCAAGAGCTGGTACAGAGGACTGTATTTGCTGCCCCCTGTCTCTCAGAATTCTCACACCAGGAGAAGCAGCTGCCATGTGTGAGTAGCCTATGGAGAGGCCCATGTGAAAATGAACTGAAGGACCAGCAGATGGTGTAACGGTTATGTCACTGGACTCCCATGTAGTCAACCGCTGTTCAAATCCTGGATCAGCCAGCTTAATTCACGCCTGACCCATGTGCGTGCATGCCCAAAATCCCGAGAGGAGAGTGAAGAAGAAGGAATTGCAGCATGGCCATCCCCTCGGGAAGTGGTTTCTCTTTTCTTCTTTTTTTTAAACGAGCTCTGGCAAGCTTTATTAAAGAAAAATGTTGCATGATGTACTTTTCACCGGTCTGTTCGAGCATACTTCTCATGATCTCGGAACCACCGGTCAATGATAGCCAGTGTGCACACGCTGTAGGATCTCGCACATGCTGTGCCCAGTTCGGTATTACTCCCACTACAGTGATGGACACCAGTTTGGGCCAATATGGCATAGTACTCTATTTCAGATTTCCTCAAAGCTGGGCAGTTGTTGGCGAGGATGACCAACTTGGCTTTGCCTTGTCTGATCATCTTCAGAGTCTGCTTGTACCCCAGGACGTACTTCCCACTTTTCATAACAAGTTGGAGCCGAGAGTTGATCGACTCCAGCGACTTTTTCGTCTTCTTTGCGGCCACCATCTTCCTGCCTTAGGTGCGGGACAGCCCCCAACCAAAAACCGTGATTTCTCACTTTTTGTATCTGTCTTTTCTCTTAAAACAAACAAAAAACAGACAAACTGGTGTCTCTGGCCAGTTGCCACATGAGTTGCAATTAGAAGTGAGTCCTTCTGGGGCTGCCGGCAGGTGGCGTGCTCGTTAAAAGTGCGGGTCTCCACATGGCCAACCAGTTCAAGTCTGGGACCTGGCATCTTGCTTTCTTGTTTGCTCTTTCTCTGTCTCTCTCAGGTCAAATTTTAAAAAATAATAACAACAAATGGAATTAAATAAATTTAAAAGAGAGTGAGTCTTTCCTCGGTTAAGCCTGTGATAACCACCTGATGTCTCTGGCCAGTGGCCGCATGAGTGCTACTAGAAGTGAGTCCTGGGGCCGGCAGGTGGCATGGCGGTCAGAGGTGCTGGACCCCCCATGGCTGACCTCGAGCACAGTCCTGGACCTGGCCGCTTGCTTTCTCACTTTCTCTTTCTCTGTCTGGTTAAAATTTGAAAAATAATAACAAATGGAAATAAATAATTCTTTTAAAATAAATGAGTCCTTCCTCAGTTAAGCACACCTGACTTCCTCAGCTATGAGCGGCTCTGAGTGAGAAACACCTGGTAAGCCCCCCTACTTCTGACCCTGACACTGTGAGGTAATAAATGTGTATTGTGGGGCCAGCAGGTGGCGCGGTGGTTAAGGCACTGGACACTCCCACATGTCTGACCACGGTTTAAGTCTCAGACCAGGTGGCTTGCTTTCTCACTTTCCTTCTCTCTGTGTGTCTGTCTTTCGCTGGTCAAATTAAAATAAATAAATGAGGGACCAGCAGTTAGCATAATGGCTATGTTGCTGGACTCCCACGTAGTCAACCGTGGTTCGCATCCCAGACCCGGTGGCTTAAAACGCACTCCGGGCGTGTGTGTGTGTGCGTGCCCAAGATCCCGAGAGGA